ATAGCTTGCAAAATATATACTCCATTGAACAACTAAATGAGAAAGTAAAATTGAAGGTAAATTTCCAAAGAGAAGCTTCATTAATTTCTCTAAATTATGAAACTGTGTTATCTGTTCTAGAAGCAATAGCACTGACAGATACGAAGAGTAAGTGATGACACTCTTAATGGGACTCAGAGGTTATTCATTAGAAACCTATTTACAGAAATTGAAAAATATCATATAATTCTATTTAATACACACATTGAATTGTTGAGAAAAATATAGGATAATAAAAGCTACGAAAAAATGAAGTCAGGATTCCTCTACTAGGAATCAGAGATATATCTAGGTGCACTTTTAATTTGGTTGGTATTCATTTCTGAAGAAATAATACAATAGCTTCTTTTTTTTCCTTCTGCTCACCTATAGGCTATAAATATAAATTTCTAATAGAACATTTACCAGAGAGGCATATAGAAACAAAGCCCAGTTAGAAGCTACTTAAGGCCCACTCTACTATTATTATGTAATTTATACGGAACCTCAAGAAACCAGAAGATAGCATCATCTACTGGTCAATGTTCCCCATCATAATTCATAACTAGCCTGGGCGATGTCAAAAAAAAAAACTTAGCCTGAGCGTTCGGTCGGTTCGGGTCTTTTGATTGGTTTTTTTTTTAATTCTTGGTTTTTTCGGGTTGGGAAAAAGAAATACCGCCAAAAGATACCGAACAAAGTTTCGGTTTGGTAATAGGTTATTTCGGGTCGGTTTTGAGGAAGTTTAGTTCGGTTCATCAGTTTAGTATTTTGACTAAATCAATTTAACCATAGGAATACGTTCAAATAAAATTGGTGCATTTCGGTTGTTTCGGAGGTTCGGTTCCTCAGGTATTTTGGTTTTTTGATCGTTTTGGTGAAAAATTGTAAGAATACGAAAAACCAAATGGTTTTAGCTACAGAATTAAACCAAACAAAAATCCGAATTTAAAATAAAGATATGGTTCGGTTGGTTGGGTTCATACCGAATAGCCATTCATTAGAAATCGATTTACATAATCGATTGTACTATTTAATACACACATTAAATAGTGAAAAAAAATGTAACACGGTAAATAGTTGAGAAATATAGGACAATAAAAGCTACAAAAAGTAAGTCAGAATTCTTTGAATCAAAGATATATTTGTAGTTATAGGTACACTATAATTTGGTTCATAATGACCAAAAAAAAAAGTTCATAACATCGTGTATTCATTTTTCACAAACTATAAAATCATTCTTATAATTTCCCCAAAGAGAGCACGAGCACCAAAAAGCCCAATTCGGAGCCCAATCAACAGAAGAAAAATAAAAAAACTCAAACTTTACGAGCCAAGGTTCTCTGTTTAGTGGCGTGTTGAACCACTTTCTCCTCAACGTGTAACCCTTTCCTGCGCCGTACGGCATTGATGAGCTTCCTCGCCGTATTCGGAAGAACACTAGCTCCATCACCAAACTCTTCAATCTCTTCTTCAGTTTTCGGAACAAAGAACGGATCTTCCTCGAGCATTTCCCAATGGCTCAAAACCATGAGAGCACTCGCACCACCAGACGTTCCTTTTCTCAGCTCGTCTGCGAAACCGAAACTCTCGGAAACCGGCACGTACGCATGGATCGTGAACAGAGACGACCCTTCTTGCATCTCTTCCTTGAGAACTCTAGCTCGTCTTCTGCTCAGAACCGCATACATCGGACCAAGATACTCAGGTGCGGTGTTTAGTTCGCAGAAGTACATTGCTTCGACGATACGTGGATTTGTCTGAAGCACGGCGGCTCTACACGCGTCTTTGACAGCTGTCATGACTTGTCCTGTGAATATTCCAAAGTTTTCAGGTTGTTTCTCTGTTTCGGAATCTTCTGCAAGATGAGACTCGATGGTGAAAGCTAATCCCCACATTGGTTCATCGCATAGAGGTCCTGATGCTGTCGCTAGCTGAAAACCAGAGACTATGCTGCTCTCTAGAGTCAGTGCTTCGCTGTACAGTGCTGTTTCTGATGTTTCTGAAGTAATCTCAGTAGAATCTTCTGTGAAGCCAAGTCTTTGAGAGACATGAGGAGAGCCTCTCACGAGAATCGATCCATCCTCGCGGATTCTTTTACCATCTGGAGCGAAAAGTATGTTTGGACCTTTTTCTCTTGGACCAAGCGCCCAAATCCTCTTGAGCAGTTTCGACCATTCAGTTTTGCATTTCTCTCGATCATTTTCGGTTTCAGAACTTGATAAAACGCCAGCTTCGATTAACTCGTTCTTCAATGCTTCTATGGGATCCACATTCTCTACGAGGCTAGGCCCTTGTGATTCTAGTATCTTAATGCTGTGACTGCCTTTACCTCCAATTATATCACCAAGCAAGTCTGTGTTCTCATCAAGCAGCTTGGTTAGCGAGTGTGGTAGTTTCATGACGTGTACTCTGATAACGCATCTGCCGTTTGGAGTTCTCTTCTCAACGAAATCCGAAGTATTCAAGCTTAGAGATCTCAAACTCTCCAAGAGATTAGCTCCATCACCTTCAATTGTCTCCCTGTAGGACACGAGAGGCGAAGAGACTTCAAGGTTCACTTTTGCAAATCTGTCTTTCAAGTCCTTGATACATCTTTCTAGATGAACTTCTCCAGCAGCAGCAAGCACATGCTCTCCTCTTGCAGATACTGTGATCTCCACAAACGGATCTGCTCGGTTTAGAAGCCTCAGACCTTTCATCAGAGCACTCATATCTGCAGGATCCGACGGTTCAATCGCGACTCTGAGAGTGGGAGAGACCTGAAACTCCATGCTGGCTAAGGGCCAACAGTTTCTAGTAGATGAAAGTGTTGCGCTTTTTGATATATATGGTCCAAGGCCTCTTATTGCCACTACATTTCCGGCTTTCACCTCGTTTACTGGTGTTAATCCTTGTCCCATCATAAGATAGATGGAATGTAGTTCTGCTTCTTGAATGTACTTCTGAGACGATTCACCTTTGAGAGGATCATATAAAGCGGAAATCACAAAGACTCTTTGCCCTGCACAAAGAACTCCGCTAAAGATCCTAGCAAATGCGAGGAAACACTCATCGGACTCGCTTTTGCTGTCCTCGTCGTTTAAACCGTTCATCCTCTCCCTGTGGTTTCCATCTTGAGGAATCATTTTCATGGGAATGGCAAACATTTTAGACACAAACACGACACAAGGTGCGTCTCGGCTAGAATCACAAGCCTCGATTGATTTTCTAACAAGCTCTGCTTCTGCAAGTACGCTTGAATCAACATCGTTACCACCGATGATTTTCCTTTCTGGAACCAAGCGCGAGATTCTAAATGCCTGTGCTGCAATGGGGTCAGGCAGATGTTTCACAGCCATAGACAAGACTGCATCAGACAAAGGAAGCCAACGGCTCATCACTGACTGAAGCACGTTTTTGGGATCCTTGTTCTGAAGTTCGCGTGGTGGAATAGACAGATTGAAAGATTTGATAACTTTCTCAAGAATGGCTCTGTCCCCGTCGGGATCTAGTGCAGCCTCGTAAACCTGCCACAAAGGCTCAAGCACAAACTGCACAAACATTGGTTTTGCCTTGCTTCCCGCACTTAAAGAATTCTTCCTCACACTCATCTTTGTCTTGGAATCATAATAATAAGGACCCCATAACGATTTCTCCAACGCAGGCGCCTTAGCTCCAAGCTTAGACGCATAGAAATTAGCAAACTCAGAGACCCCAAAACCCCACCCGTCAAGAGCACACACGAAGACCACATTACCCTTCTGAGGCTGAAACGTAACTTCTTCATCATCCTCCAACAACTCAGGACTCTCAGCAGAAATCTCACCAGAAGTACTCGCAAGTATAGAGTCAATATCAGACAAATACTTCGCCGACTTATACGCGCTCACTATCCCATTAACCTCATGAACAATCCTTATCAAGCGAGTATATGCTTCCATGGGACTCAACCTCAGCTCACAAATCAACCGATCAATCTTGTTGAGCACTAAGCAAGGAGTCAACTTCTCGACCCAAGCTTGACGCAACACAGCATGCGTCTGAATGTGGACACCTTCAACAGCATCAACCAAAACCAAGGCCCCATCACTGAGCCGAGCAGCTGTTGAGACTTCACTACAGAAGTCCATGTGCCCAGGGGAATCAATCAGGTTCAGAGAATGGTCCTCATACTTGAGAGAAATCGAAGAGCTTTTCATCGTTATCGCACGTCTCTGTTCTTCATCGAGATAGTCCATGTACCTAAGCTTCCCGGCGAGTCTCGGGTGAAGCACGCCGCCACCAGAGGAAGCGATGAGGTGATCGGCGAGGGTTGTTTTACCGTGGTCTACATGTGCTAAGATACATATGTTCCTAACTTTTCTACCATCAGACTCATCCATTTCTTTCACTTTACACAACGAAGCTATCCTGGAGATATTACCATCAATCAGATAAACAAAAAGCAGATTCCATAATCATCACAAAAGAGAAATCACAATGACAAAGATGCTTTGTAAATTCCAAAATTGACTCGATTTCCAGAAGATTTCAAAGTTTTGATTCAGAAAATTGAGAACTGAGATTGATATCCAGTTACCTAATCCGTTGGTCGAGCTCAGACGCTTTCTTCAGAAGCAGAATCACTTCCCTCGATTATCTCTGATGAGTATTCTCTCCTTATAGAGATTCTCACAATCTCTCTCTCTCTTTCTTTAAAAAGTGATCGCTTAGACAACTATATGCAAGTAATCACGTAAACGGAGAAAAAATGATGCGACCTTGCTTCCGCGGCGGACGAAACAACGGCGGCGCAGGGTTTGGCGATTTCCTCTGCAAGTTTCTCTCCACAAAACCATCCACCACATGAACCTATTTGTTTGGATTTTAAAACCGGGTTTAACTAAACCGAAACCCACCGGCTGAGAAAGAGGTTTTTAAGTTAAATTAGATTTTCTTTTTACTTAATTTAATAATTTAAGCTCTTAAACCGGACCAAGTTCGGGTCAAAATTTCCCTGCCCTAAGTCTTAGCCAAAATCAATTTTGAGAGAGAGAGAGATGCAGAAAAGGGAGCTCGGGAAATCCGGTGGCCAGTCCGGCGGAGCTTCGGCTCCACCACCGAAGAGAGGCCGTCCGTTTGGTAGCACGAGTGCAAACTCGGCAGCTGCAGCAGCTGCCGCTGCGGCGGCGGATGCGATGTCTCCGTCAGCTCTACTCGGTCCTTCTCTTCTTGTTCACAATTCCTTCATCGGTAAGCTCGCAAATTATCAATCTATACTATCTACTTTCTATTCCTCTTACGAATGGTTTTGTTGTTGTTGTTGTTGTTGTTGTTGTTAACTTCACTGAGATCGATTTAGCACTTCCCTTATATACTGTCGAATTTGTCTGATTTTTTTTTGGAATGTGTGATCCTGGGAAGATAGACTACTCGTACTGTTATTTGGATTATAAATTTCACAAGAGACTCACTGTTTGTGAAAGCTCATTGCTTTTCCATATTCTAGATATGAAGTATGCTTTTTTTGGTTTCATATTGGAATGGTTTTGATTTTTTGTAGACCAGAACAATAGAAGAATAGTCCTAGCGCTACAGAGTGGGTTGAAGAGCGAGGTGACATGGGCATTGAATACACTCACATTGCTTTCCTTCAAGGAGAAAGAGGATATTCGAAGAGACTTCACTCCTCTAGCTAAGATACCTGGCTTGCTTGATGCCCTTCTCTTAATTGTAAGTTTGATTTAGTTGTTTTTTGTGTGTAAGGCACTGTTATGCTTTTCTTTTTGTAATTTTTGTGTTGAAGTTTAGTGCGGGATTGTGCTTGGTAGATAGATGACTGGCGTGACATAGCTCTCCCAAAGAACCTGACAAGAGGAACTAGGGTCAGATCGTTAGGTGCAAATTCTTCAGTTACGGGTTTTGGCAGTGAGTATGATGCGCTAGCCACAATTCAAACCCCTGGGTGAGCCGATATGATCTATCCTTTACTATGATACTATGATACTATGATTTTATCTTATATCTTTGGAACCTAAGTGAGGTTAATATTCGCCTAGCAGATCCGGCGTTGGTTCTTCAGCCACTGAGGCATTAGGGAAAAAAGGCTCTGGAAAACATCAGTCATCTCAGTGGTGGAATGAAGAAGATGGTTTGTTTAATATAGACGATGAAGGGAGAGCAGAGAAACAGATGTGCGCCATTGCTGCGTCAAACGTTATCCGCAACTTCTCCTTCATGCCGGATAATGAAGTTGTAATGGCTCAGCATCGCCATTGCTTAGAAACTGTTTTCCAGTGCATAAACGATCATATGACCGGTAAGAAGGAATACTGTGTTTTTGATATATATCGTCCCATTCACGTCTGATAGATTTCTATTTCTTTTTGGATCGAACTAGCTTCAGTGCATTCCCTCTATCTTCTTATGTGCCTGATACTTGATTGAGAGGTATGAATCTAAGAAAATCTTTTGTTGACAGAGGATGAAGAGCTAGTCACAAATTCGCTTGAGACGATTGTAAACCTAGCGCATTTGATGGATCTTCGAATTTTCAGCTCGCTTAAACAGTCATACATCAACATAAAGTAAGAGTTTGTGTATCCATGTATCCTTCTAACAAATTTCATCTTAACATGTTTCAAATTCGGACTTAATGTGAGCCATTCATTTCTTTTCTGCAAATAGTGAAAAGCAAGCTGTACAAGCTGTGGTTGGGATTCTTGATTCTGCCGTCAAGGCTTGGAACTGTGCTGCTGCTGAATTGCTAGGGCGTTTGATAATCAACCCGGACAATGAACCCTTCATTAATCCCTTAATTCCACAGGTTTGATAACGTCTTTCATGATAATCATCTTATGGTTTATGGTTACTTACTCATAATAATAAGTAGTTTAACAAACCCATAAATGGGCCAACCTCTTACAGATACACAGGCGATTAGTCGATCTTTTAAGCATACCAGCAGTTGATGCACAAGCCGCAGCTGTTGGTGCACTCTACAATCTCGTGGAAGTAAACATGGATTGCAGATTAAAGCTTGCAAGTGAGAGATGGTATACAAAAAAACAAAAATATGCTTCCTCCCTCTCTAATTAATATACAACCAAAAATCGTTCACATTACAACAATGACACACACCATTTACGTTTTCAGGGCGATTGATAGATTGCTGAAAGTGATAAAGACTCCGCATCCGGTTCCAGAAGTCTGCAGGAAAGCTGCAATGATACTAGAGAACCTTGTCTCCGAGCCTCAGAACAGAGCATTGTTACTTGCGTATGAGAATGCTTTTGCAGAGCTGCTTTTTCAAGATGGTAAGTATTCTGATTCGTTTGCGAGGATTTTGTATGAACTAACTGCTAGATCAAATAGCAGAGTGGCTTCGGCTCGGGGAATCTGGGGGATGTAATGTGGGTTTAGTCAGTCAAAAGTCTCTCTATAGATTAGTGGGTTTGGTTAATGATGCTGTAATGTATTAGTAGTAGACTTGGATCATTTGAGATATTAAAAGCACAGTATTGTTGAACAAAGCAGATGGTGGTTTCTTTTCATTATTGCTCTCGCATACATGTGATACGACAATTTAACCCTCCTCTTGTGTAATCTAGCAACTCTTGGTTGGTAGTATCTTTATGTAATGATAGATAATGTTTTGGCAATTGATTTTTATTCTTTCATTACATCATTTGATTTAGTACAGACGTTTATTAGTCATAGGCGATTACAATCAAATTGAAAAAAAAAAAGACAATTTGTATTTAGCCGTTGAAATCAACTTGTCGCTTTAGGATTTCAAAATGCATCTTTTACTAATGAAATATTTCATCTGTTTCTGATTAAAATGACAAAGATACAGAAATTAACTAAATAAACTAACAATTATAAACTACTACATTTTTTCAAATTACTAAAATCCATTGGATTTTTTCTTCTCCTTTCCATTGTCTTTAAATTTCTTATATTCTTCACATTCACTCGATTTTTGTTGTTCAAGAAAAAAAAACTAACAAAAATAAATATCTTCACTCAGTTTAGCACTAATTTGTCCATCATCTTTGAGTTCAAATGTATAGTTCTTCTCCCATTATTTTAACAACCATTTGCTTCACTAACCTCTTCAGTTGTTGCATCATATTGAAAAGTTTTATTTTTGTTAAATATTACTATTTTATTTTTTCTTTTAGATGAATGCAATTAAGTGTACGGTATCTCATTTTTATAACCCAATTCATTTCTTCTGATGTGTTACTTCATCATCAAGTACATACGATGTGAGCATTAGTTTTGTGCCATGGATTAAATACAAAATGTCTTTTTTTTAAAAAAAAAAACATTTTCATTGCATTAATTTAACTGAAGCAAGAGTGTTTACCAAAGTTTTACAGTAAGCCAACAATAGTTACACTCCGAAATGGATCAATTCTGACGAAGGGAGGAATCCCAACAAAGACCCAAGGGTGGTCTTAGGCCTGGGCGTTAAAACCTAACCCGACGGACCCGACCCGACCCGACCCGAAAAACAGAGTTTGGGTTGATTTTTGTTTTAGTGTTAAATCCGAATGGTTTTAATATAAATTTATTTCGGTTTTTGGTTCGGTTCGGGTCAAACCCGAAAACCATTTTGCGACCCGAAAGAATATATCAGACATATATTATATAGTATACACATTTACATATTTACATATTTTGTTTCCTATTTTTCTTCTCTCTGATATCGACGCCGACGACTCCACTTCCATCTTTATCAAAACTTGATTATAACTAAAATTAGTCAATCTGGAATCATTATCTCGTCTTTCTCCTCATTCATCTTCGTCAAGAGTCCAATCGCACGTGATTCTAAACCCTATTTCTTCTGTTTGAATTTTTTTTTTGTTTTTCACAATCTCTGATTTTTATTCTAGTTCGACGATTCCGATTTAAAGATTTTCTGTCTCGATTTGTTTATGGGTTATTGTTGTTTTGTTTGATTGTGCTTGTTTGTGTTTAGAATTTTCTCATTCCTTGTCTCGATTGTGTTTTGTTTTTCCTTTCTTGGGTGAAGAATCCCATCGAGTCGTTTCAATTCTAATCTACTTTGGTTAATACACTAAAAGCTTAACTCTTTAATCAGACAAATATATTTGAAACCATGACCAAATCGTACCAGTATTGAATCTTGATGTAGCTTTGGCAATCTTAGTCGTTACATGTAATTTGTAATTTAGCCAACTTCATACAGCTCGTTAAATTTCTTGTTTACAGCTCGTTATTGTTTGGTTTTATTTGAGACCCATTTTGCTCGCCGAGGGTATAGATGTATGTGAGATGATTTTTTTTTTATTTGTTCATCTTTGTTCATCTTTGTTGTTTTATTTGCTTGTTCTCTATCACCTTGCAGATGGATTCTTCATCACTTCCTCACTTGAACGACAATGACGACCTGGAAGATGAAGTTGCAGATGATATTGGGAGTACTCCTTTAAGTGGAAACAAGAGGAAGAGGAAAGAAGTTCCTACATCTACTTCACCGAAGGCTAAGTCTAAGCCGAAGGAAAAGGCTAAGAAGAAAGTGTTTAGCACAAGATCACCTGTATGGGAGCACTTCACAAGAACAAAAGAGGATGCAGATGTATGCTTGTGTAACTACTGTGGTAAAAGCTTTGCTTGTGCGAGTACTAATGGGACAACTAGCTTGAACAAGCATCTCACAATCTGCAAGGAACATCTAGCTTGGGTGGAAATTAAAAAAGAAAGTCAGAATGTTATAACTCCTGAAGCTGAAGGTGCCCTGAAGATGGCTAGTGTCTGAATCCGTTTTCAGACAAGCATGTATTGAGTTGATTGTGATGGGAGAACTACCTCTGTCATTTATTGAAAGCATAGCATTCAGATATTTCTGTAGCAGGGTGAATCTGTACACGCCCAAGTCTCGGAGGACAACAACAAGAAACATTGTGGAGTTGTATATCCAGAAGAAAGCAGCTATGAGGGAAATTCTTTGTGGCAATAAGCAAAGGCTTTCATTGACAACAGACATTTGGAAAGCTCCAACAACAGGAGCTAGCTACATGGTAATCACAGCTCACTTTATTGACACAAAGTGGAATCTGAAGAAAATGATTATAGGCTTCAAGAATGTGGATGACCATAAGGGTTCGACTATTTCATCTGTCTTGGTTGAATGTTTAGCTGATTGGGGAATTAAGAGGGTTTTCACAATTACAGTTGACAATGCCACAGCCAACACATCTGCTTTAAGACGTTTCAAGGAAAAATTCAGCAAAGTTGGTACTGATGCACTTGTTTTAGGTGGTGAGTACTTACATATGCGGTGTGCTGCTCATATCATCAACTTGGTTGTAGGTGATGGTATGCACGAGGTGGAAAGTTGTGTTACTTCAATAAGAAATGGGGTTGAATACGTAAGAGGCTCTACAAACAGGGTTAAGGCATTTGATCTAAAGGTGGAATCTGCAAAGATGACCAGAGGAAGTCTTTCATTGGATTGCAAAACCAGATGGAACTCTACATACCTAATGCTATCAAGAGCTCTGAAGTTCAGGACAGGTTTGGAAAGAATGCAAGCTGAAGACATGCTGTTCAACGCATACTTTGAGCAAAAAAATGATGGTAGCAAAAAGATTGGGCCGCCTACAAAGGCTGATTGGGATTCTGTTTCAAGGTTAGTCAGGTTTCTAGTTATTTTTTATAACTCTACCTTGGTTGTCTCGGCATCTACTACAGTGAACTCTTACAAATGCTACAATGAAATTGTTACCATTGAGAGGAACCTGGTAAAGCTGAGCAATGACCCTGAGGAAGCAATGAGGACAAAGGCAAAAGCTATGAGAGACAAGTTTGACAAGTATTGGGATGGTCTGACTAAAATAAATAAGTTGCTGATAATAGCTAGTATCTTCGACCCAAGTAAGAATATGAGGTTTGTTACTATATGCTGTGATAGACTATATGGAAAAGACAGTGTACAAACTAAGGAGATCATAGCAGCTGTAACAGATGCGATGGAGAAACTGTTTGAGGTGTATCAGTCTAACAGTTCTGAAACCTCATCCAAATCTGCAGCAAGCGGGTCTCAAAGTGGTCAAAGTTGTCAAGAGTCACAAGAACAAGAACCTGGTAATATTTTTGATCAGATGGATTTGGATTTTGAGAGTGGGTATGAAAGAATGGATTTTGTCTACAAGGAGATGGTAGATGAATTAGGAGACGAAGATGTGGGCTCAGAGTTGGATACATATTTGAAGGAGAAGTGTGAAACTCCAAAGACAACCATGTTCGGTCAAGAGTATGATGTGTTAGGATGGTGGAAGCTGAATAGTGCTAAGTTTTCGGTTCTTTCAGAGATGGCAAGGGATGTGCTAGCGATACAAGTTTCGTCTGTCGCCTCCGAGTCGGCATTTAGCACAAGTGGACGTATCTTAGAGCCTTACCGTAGCTGTTTAACTCATAACATGATAGAAGTGCTTATGTGCCTTGAGCAATGGTTGAAGTGTGAAGTTCGGTTGAATGAAAGAGGGATTATTACAAAGGAAGAAATGCTTGCTGACATTGAATTGCAAGATGAACTTGAGAGAGGTAAGTTTGTTATCTATTCTTTTAGGTTTCAAGGTTGTTTTTTTGGTTTTTTGGTTTTTGCAGTTTTACAAGTTTTTATGTTTTTTTGTTTCAGATATTGAATCTCAATGCAACTTCAACCTCTAAAATCAGTAGTCTTCCGGTTATAAGGTAATATATATTGCACTATCTCTTCTTTTTATTCTTCGTTGTTTCTTATTCAAATTCCACTTCTCCTTTTGTTTACAGGAAAATGGCGAAGTTTTGAAGAGTTGAAGACTCTTCTTAAGTTATCTTTTTCATTGTGTTCTTCTTCTTTTTTAGTTGTTTTTGGAATTTCGTTTTTGTTTGGTAATTGGTATTTTGGAATTTGGATTGTGTTTGGTGAGGAACTGAGAATACTTAGCAGAATGATGTTTTTCAAACTTGCAGAATAATTTTTCTGTTCGTTTTTACGTTTGACATTTGAAATTGCTTGGATTTTTTTGGTTATTTTTGGTTTAATCCGGTTTAGGGCTTAATTATTCATGAATTATTTCGGGTATTTTGGTTTACTCGGGTTTTTCGGGTCTAAAACCGAACCGAATCAATTGGAATTTTTGTTTTAGTTCTGTATCGGGTTTTGATTTAATTTCTAAACCCGACCCGAACTCGAGAAGACCCGAACCAAACCGACCCTAAAAAATTTCGGTTTCTAAACGGGTCTAACCAAATCAAAATTTTGGGACCCGAAACTCGTGGACCCGAGCCGAACCCAATCCGAGGACCTTATGCCCAGGCCTAGGTGGTCTAAAGAGCAGAGGGAAACGATCCCAGCCCAGGACACAAACCGAACGAGAACCAGAGCTGCATGCATTCACTCGCCATATCAGGGTTTTGCATTCTAAATGAGGATATTCTGTTCTTGATGATGGAGGAGAGAAGAATAATCACCGAACAAAAAAAAAAATTTCTTAATTTTTAGTTTTTGAATATAAACACAGGTGGAATGGAGAATGTGGTGATCGATATCGAACCGGGCACATTATCTATAATACAACATCAGACACACAACATGGAAACTAATTTTCTAAACCACATACAACTTCTCTGAGCGCAATCG